AGTTGATCATTATAAGAGTCAGTTATAAAATTCACTTGACCTTGTATTTACAATAATTCTATTTGCAAATTTTATTTCATGATAAATTCCAAAACTGACAATAAGCATATAATCACAAGAAAGCTTTCAAAGTTTCAACCCTAACCTTGAACAGTTGAATCTGGGAAGAGCCTAAAGTGTTTGTTTTTTTTTTAATAAAATAAAACAATCTTTGATCAAGTATTTCTTATGAATAAGGTTATAGATTATCTGCAATACACTTTATATGCAGAATGGTAATATTAGCCGTTTCCTAATAAGGAAACATTTGACATTCATTATTGATCAGGCAGCCAGTACTGTTGGTTGAAATTTATAAAATCTTTCTCTTAAAACAATTTTTCAGAAAATAGGTTTCTAAAGTCCAGTAGTTGTTATTGCTATTTCCTTCCTAACTTTTTATATGAAGTAATATGGAACATCAGCATCTTGATGAGATCATTAATTTATTTCAAGTCACATGTGATATCCATTTTAGCTGTTACAATTGTTGATAGTGCTAAATGTTGTTTCTGTTATTTGGTATATTTTTTTGTTTGTGATTCTATAGTGCCAGTCCACAATATCTGAAGAAGTGGACTTCCCTTGCTCAAAGAAGGTTTGCATTAATAGCCTTTTTGTTATAATTTTACCAACAAAATTTATTCCTTCTCTAACAAAGACACAAAAAGGATAACTTTTGAAAATTCCAAGAATACAGGACATGATATTAATGAATGTTAGAAAATAAACCAGTCAAAATTATATTCAAATTATGAGACAAGAACACTAGTTTGAATAAATTCCCAATGTTTTCCTCTCAGTACTTAAAACAAACCTATTTTTATTTTTAAATTCAGACAGAGAATAAACACTGCTGTCATTTTGTAATCAAGAAATACAATAAATAAGTGAATAAATAAAAAAATTAAAAAAAAATCTATATATATCAACTTTGTAGGGAATTCATTTTAAGAAACTGGCAATTTTATAGTTGAACTTTTACATTGTTGAAAATTCTGCAACTGAGTTTTTTACTGTGTAATTTTGGGACATTTTTTTTTTAAATATTTAATTTTGAATATTTTATTCCTTGAATTATTGACTGCTAACAATATTTGACAATATTTTTAATATAAGCTTATTTTTAAAAGCAGTAAGGATTTCAGTTTTAACATTAAAATGAATAAGATAAATTTTATTTTTAACATTGAAGAGCACAATAGCAGAAACAACAGAATAAAATTCCAAGTTGAAATTACACTGGCATTAGCAATGACTAAAAAAACATGCTGAATTTAAAAATACGATCAACAAATATTGCATCAACATAAAAAAGTCAATTCGAAAAAAGGCCTACAGAGTTTTCAAGGTAAAAATCATACATCACATTTATTTAAAATAAATTTTAATTGGGTTAAAAAACATTTTATTTGTTTGTTTATTTATTTTTAATTGTGATCTAGCTTTTAAAAACATTCATAAAAAAATTGCATATTCAATAGACATTTTATTTATTTTAAAGCATGATTAATCTAGCAGTGGTATAAAATTTATCAAACTTTTTATTGGTTTGGATAAAGTAGACTTATGACGTCAATGAGCCTACAAACCTGAAAAGTTTTTTTGGTAAATGAAATATCTCAAGAACAATAAAAAAATCTTTTGGCTGGGGTTCATCATGCCTAACGAATTATAAAAGATGCGAGTAAAACTGGTCATTGTTTGAAGGCTTTTCAATCTTTTCCTTACTAAATATTCTGAAACAAAACAATACCGCAAATTAATAGAACTTACTGTACTGTGAGAAGTGTTAAAAATGTTTTATTTATACAGACTTTCAAAACGTAAGAACCGCTGGGGACACCATGTTGCCCGTTGGAAGGAAAAAGGAAGTGTCATAGATGTTTTTAAGTAGAAACAAGAAGGGTTATGAAATTGAAAAAAAAACATTATCAATTAACATAAGACTAAGAGTTTGTTCTTTTTTTTCAATTTAAAAAGAATAATTCAATTCATATTCTAATCACATAAAATGAATTACTGAATAATACCGGATATTATTTTTATTTCTGATGCAAAAACTTTTTCAAACTGAAAAAAAGGAGAGAGATAGGAAGTCATATCTCTTATTTGTTTTCGTTTTAACTTTTTTGGTCAATTTGTCACAAATTCAAATTTTAATAAAAATAAATAAAAAAAATTATGTGATTTGAATATGAGACAAGTTAAAAAAAAAAAAAAAAAAGAAATGTTCTAATGCTAAAGTAAACTAAAAAAGTATTTTAGTACGTTCCAAAAACCGTTTCGGACGTTAAAAGGGATACCACTCTTTTCTTTACGATGTGTCTTGTCGGTATGTGCACGCTTTACTGCAAAAAAGGTCATTGTATCTGCATTTGAAAAAAAAAAAAATAACACTACATTATGGCGGTTTGAACCAAATTAGCAATAAAACTAAAGTAAAAAAAAAAAATTCTTTAATGTCCAAAGTATTTAAGCGAATAAAAAAAAAATGGAGAAAATGCCAAGGAAAACTGGACAATTATATCTATCAGTACCAGAATATGTGCGTGTGGAACTCTATGTTGTGTCAAACTTGCTAGGCGGGGAACGTAGGTGAATCTAAACTTCTTAAGTTACACTCCCCAAAAATCGTCACGTGCTTATTTGGAGCAATGAGACGGAGTCTGCGTTAGAATGCCCAGATCGCAGATGGTACCAATCAATCGCTTATCTTGTTCAATATTGAATTATAAAAAGTGATTTATCAAGTGTTTAAAAAAGTCTCAATTTAAAAGAAAAATTAAAAAAAAAAATATTTACAAGAACTAATTCGATTTCTCCTACCCAAAGAAAGAATAAATCAAAACAAAACTTTTCCTTAGGAAAACACAGACGCATTAATAAATTATTTTTAATTCATTAATTAATTACCCACTAAATTATTTTATTTTTTTTTTTTTTTTTTTTTGTGTAGCTTGGGTAATCGACGTAGAAAATTTCAGTAATAAAACATAAATGCAAGTTGTTTATTTTTTTATCTATTGTATATTTCACAAAAAAAAAAAAAAAAAAGATAAAGAAAAAAGAAAGACTGAATGGATGTAGAACAAGAACCAGAAATTTTATTTAAATTAAAATAAAACAAAAAAACTTACATTCTGAAAAATTACATCAGCAAAAAAACTAAAAGATTCCTAGAGGACTATATTTCGAAGCATCATAAATAAAAGAAAATTGCGCAGTGGTTCCTGATGTTACCTTCTTAAATTCATCATCCATTGATGATTAATAACCCCTCTGTTTTTTGTTGATCTTGAATAATAATGTCTTAGTTTTAAAGATAACTATCTTTAAAACTAAAACTTGCTTTGATCAGGCACTAGCATCTAGACTTTATTTTAAAAATGAGCTTCCTCATCAGATTGAACTTGAATTATAGTCTAAAATTTAATATCCTTCTTTATTTGCAGTTATTGATTTGTTCTTTCTTTGGCCACGTACACATAATGACAATGTCATGATTCATAACTGGACTGGCTAGGTACAATAAGCTTTTTAAAAAAAAAAAAAAAAAAAAAAAAGAGTTAATTCACTAAAGCTAAAAAGGATAAATTCGGTTCGACGTATTGCAATTATTATTAATATTAATAAATAATTGTAAAACATCAAACCAGTGTTTAGTGTTTATTATATGCTGTTTCCATTTTAAATTCAGTTATTAAAAAAAATGAATTGAAAAACCGAGACGAGACCTCAACTTTAAATAAAATAATCGGAAAGCCACTTTTTGTCTACGAATATTAATAATCAACAGGCTTCATTTTGGTACACTTTAAGTTTAAGCAGACAAGAATCATAAAAGTTAGTAATTCTTCGTACAAGAGAGGAGGGGAGTTGGCAAAGGAAGATCGAGATATTATAATTAAAAGCAGCATCACATCACTAGGCTGAAGCAAAGAGGAAAAAATGAAGAATATTGAAAAATAGGAATGCCTGCATTGGGGACTAGAAAGCAATAAGGGCAAAGGGAAATTTTAAAAAAAAATGAAGCTTAAATTGGTTACAGGTAATTAGTAAGACGAGGAAAGATGTAAGACGTTGGTACGCATCAGGAGGGAAAGTTTCCATCGACGGCCCTAACTGAGAAAGTAATCTTAGAGGTTTGTTGTCTCCAAATAGAAGCAGCCAACACGATCCATTTTTTTTCTTCTTTTTTTAATTGTAATTTACAACCGTTAAGTTAGTATTAATGCTGCGAAGAAAGAAGTTGTTGAACCAACAACAACTTGTTTAGTTTAAGTTTTATTTTTGCGTAAAGACTAAGGAAGGAGAGAAAAAAAAAAGTCTTATTTTTTTTCCCCTGACAAGAAAAATCTTACAAGTGCTGTAAGAGAAATTGGGGAAAGCAGTGTCAAAAGTTTACACCAGGGAGTGCCACATCATTTTTTTTTCCTTTGGGTTCGAAAAAGAAAGTGACAACGAAAGTCATCACCCTTCCTAAGCAAATTGTTAAGTTAGCATTATGGTACCTTAGAAAATTTAATAATGTTTTAGTGTGAAAAGAGCTTTAGAGATCACAATACACAGATCTATTTTCTTTTTACCAACAAAAATAAATCAAATGAAAAGAAAAATCATCCACATGACAGCATTATTACTAAAATCAGAATAGACAAGTATCCGCGATAGGTTTTATTTTATTTGCTGATCTCCAGCAAAAGAATTTTAGATATAACTGGTGCGACAACCATGACGAATGAATTAATGGGCATTGTTTGAATACTGAGTACTAATAAGAGAAAAACAATAAAATGAATTTCTAAAGTCTAAACAAATAAAAATTATAATTGTAGCTGATCACTGTGATTTTCTTTATCTGTTAGATTTTGCTCGTTTTAAGTTTATCTTTCCCTTAAAACTAAGAAACCCGCTATCAAAGAGGGATAAGAATGAAGGAACATAGTGGAAAAGAGTAAATGGCCATCAATATTTTTTTCTTCTTTTCTTCCTTCACACTTCTTGCTTCTCCACACACACATACACACGTACCAACCATAAAGTAAAGATCACAATAACAGTGTACTTCTTACCCAATAATCAAAAAAACGAATAAAGCTGTAATGAAGTAATTGGTCTGGTAATATAGAAGGTTATGTAACACCCGTTTAGTCCACTTGTCAGCTTCTGCCATGTTCGGAATTTGAAAACGAGCAGATTCCATTAAAAAATCGCCGATCGGCCGAAGTGGAGCAAGTTGAACGTCCGCCATCATGTTGCCAGGAATATTATTGTTCTTGTTGTTGTTGTTATTATTATTATTGTTGTAGAGCCGCTTGTGCACTCGAACAAAACTGCCGCGTTTGTAGTGAAATAGATTAACCTTTCTTCAGCTTCGTAAAGTATGAAGAAACTCAAATTTCTATCTGGGAATTATATATATTTTTTAATTTTTGTATTACCTGTTTTATATATGTATAAGTTATTTTGGCTTTTGGGAGAGTGATGCAAACTTTAAGAGTTTTCAGAGGAAAAAAAATTATCGGTGTTTGAAGCGACGCCGGAAGTGTGAATTTCTCTGCGAATCAATCACATTTTTACCTTTTCTTTTACCTGCCTGGTTTTTTTTTTACTCCCAACAAAGGGAAGGATTTGTTTATCATTGACAATAAGTAAGCATGAATTTATTCCCCTCCTCTTTCTTGTGCTTCTTTACTCTGCTGCTGCTGTTGTCGTTTTTGTCAGCGCCACACTCTGCAACCGGCATTGCTACTATTCAGTCTTCTTCATCCTGGCAGCAGTTGTCCAAGTAATAGCGAATTTCATCCTTGTTATTGTGTACAAAACTCAGAAATGGTTATTTAAATTAAAGACAAACACTCAAATATACGCACAATTATTGCAGTTTTTATTATTTGACTGAGAAGAGACCATTTTTTTTTTAAAGAAAAAAGAACGCATCAATCCTTTTTAGCTGCTACAGCTACCTTATGTTATCTAATCAAGGAGGCACTACCTGCATATGGTCTTTGTCAAGGTTGGTGTCATCATTTCCACCCAGGCTTCTTCTATGCTTGCCTTTTTTGTCTTTTGACATATTCTGTTATTATTAGCTAGTTCTTTTGGTTTGCCTACCATCGATTTAAACATGGTGTAGTTGCAGTTTCGCATCTATTTTTAGACTACCCGGCATGAAAAACTCGTTGTCATTCAGTACAATTAAAGCTATTTTCTGCTCTTTCTCTCTTATTGTTTTTTTTTTTTGTAACACTACTACTGCATATTTATTTGAATATCATTTCTGAAGAAAATCTTCGTACATAGTTTAAATATGTGAAGTGTGTAAACTTGCATGGTAAAAAATTACTTTTTTCCCCTTGATAAAAAAAATGTAATCAGATATCAATGTTGTCATGCTTCTTCTTCCTCAAGCTATTTAATTTCTTGATTATCATTTTTCTAGTTTAATTTTACATTTAGATCTTTAATGGAAAAATAAAAAATCTGGACACTAAAAAATGCTAGTTAATAATAATTAGCTTTATTAGCAGTTAAATTTCACCAACCACAGTGTCATAAAAATGAAAGCTATTTTTTCGTGTCGCGTTATTTAAATCACTTTTTTTGTCAAAGATTCAAATTCGTGTAAATACACCGCCCATTCATCACATCTGTTGTTCCTCAGAGATGAAATTGTTTTTTTTTGGGTTTTTTTTTTTTTTTTTAAAGCTTTCCTTTTTACCACATATGTCACGTGTGTGTACCACATAGTTATGTTTTTAAGATTTTTTCTTTTCTTATTCAAGTGTTACTACAGATTGTTGGAAATTTTCTGTTTTTTAGATTCCCTACATTTAGAAATATTTTGTTCGGATATATAGTGTTTTTTGTTGAAACAAGCATTCATTATGCTGCTTAGACTCAGAGGTAACGCTAAGCTTTTTTTTTATTCTATTTTAGAATTTAGAGATTATGGAGCTTTTTTTGAGCTCCTTTCTGATATTTTGTAGAAAGAATTGATTTTTTTTAAATAAAGTATTTTAAATTTTCTAGCATTAGCATGGCGTAGGTACAAATGTTGTGGATCTTTAAAATTTTTCTTCCCCCTCCATAAATCTTGTTTGTTATACATAAGTTTTTTTTAGATTCAATAATCGATTTAAAGAAAAATGTTATTACCATTTAAAATTATATCAGTGATTCGATTTCTATTTGTTACCGTAACACAACAAAAATGGCACATTATAGCGGGGTTTTTGTTAGGAAAATAACGCTAAAAATAATGTAAGTAACCGAACGAGAAGAATAAAGCTATTTTTTCTGTTTAATCTACAACTGAATATGTGAAATCCGCTTTGCACTCACATTGATAAAAATTAAAAATAATCATCTGTGTTTGTTGTAAACGACGAAAAGAAAATAACATCAACACTGGAAGGGGTAGGGATCATTCCTGAATAAAATAATGATACATTCATTAGCTCTTTTTTTGTAATTATAAACAGCTAAGTCAAGTAGTTCTCCATATTTATTTGCAGATACAAATAGGAAAAGAAAAGACTTGATTGACATCAAGGTGTTATTGATCAGAAGCTTAGAACGAGAAATCAAAAGAAGCTGAGTTTAAGAACGAGTCCAGATCGTTATATTTAATTTCGTAATAATAACACTCTGTTCTTGGGAAATGTATGCATCTCTCTTTCTAAGAGAATGGCAACTCTGAATTCAAAACTATGTGCTCTTGTTGTGGTACATACTTAAACTAAGGCCTGCTCAGGTTAGTTGCAATATAAACCTCAGGTTGACTCTCTGAGTTGAAGAAAACACAAGTAAATGGACCTGAGAAGATACAGGGCTCTAGTAAGAACAAATATTTGGGGTGGGGGTTAAAAATTTACTCACTGGGCCATCAATATCCGGTGTTTTCCGGCCGGGGTTAGTTTTTTCGTCGTCTTCCCCGTTTTTGAGAGAGAAAGAGTGGAAGAATAGAAAAAGAGATATGGATTTTAAGGGAAAGCAAATGCTTTGTTTTAATTTGAATTAGTTTCTGTTTGTATATTTTATTGGACTCACCACAATTCCAAATTAAAATGAAAATGCACCCACGCGATAAAGGGAGATTACCATCATCGTACAGAAGACACACCTTTTAAGAATTCTTTCATCGGGATGTTATGAAAGTTATATTCTTCATTGCTTTGATAGTTTTTTCTTTCTTGATTGCATTTTATTAAAATAAAACCCTGTAAAATAAAAATACTACAATTGGTAAAAATTGGGTGCTACGGTCCTCTGGATGGGGAAAATTCGGAAACTAGCAGCTATGATGCTGAAGAAGAGTGAAGATCAAACTGATTTGCACTTTAAAACGGTTCTGATGATTGACATCGAGTTCAATGTCCGACTTTGGTGGCCTTTAACCGAGTATGGAATAATGCACAAAAAGTTCTTTTTTGTTAATTTCCTTTCAATCAATTTCTTTATTTTCTTTAAATTTAGCATTACAAATTAGACAAAAAAGGTTCACATATTTTATACATGTTTATTATCATAAGGACTTGCGTGTTGCTATATATGTTTAGTAGTGAGTGAGAGAGTTGCTGATTCAAACTATTCTTCACTAGGTTCTCACTGCAAGACATCAATACATTTTTAAGCTTTTAAGTTGCTTTGCTGACAGCAAAATGATTACATTTCAAATTTAAATTGTATGTCCATTTAAAAAAGGCTGAACATTTCAACATATATTCTTCCTGTTACTCATGGTTGTTGCCAGACGGGGAAATTATCCCTCATGACAGATTTGCATTTCAGTTTCATTCAAATTGTGTGCGTATATACATTTGTGTATGTGCATGTATATTTTAATTTAATAACAGACCTAGAAATATTTCTACAAAATTAATAAAATTCTTTAAAATGTAATTCTATGTATTACAGAGTAATTTTCAAAAAAGTTTAGTAAAATTTTATAATTATTTGATTGGTTTATAATCTTTCTTTCTTTTCTCTCCAAATATATGATTTATTGCTGAGTCCAGGGTAAGGGTTGTCTAGGCTGAGTGGAGAAGTAAATGTATTGTTCCAATGTCTTATTTCAATCTCAGTCAAATTGTGTGTGAGTGTGCATACATTAAATAGCAGAGGAACATGTAAGTTACTCATGCACAATTTAGCATGCACGTATATGATTTTTTAGATGTTACTATAGCTTTATTCCATGTAAATTTCTGTAGATTTCAAATACTATTTTCTCTTTATAAAGTTTAAAAATGTTACATTCAGTATATATGCTTCACTTTTTACTAGAACTGAAAACTAAACCAAATACTTTGTCTATGACTATGCTACTGAGCTGAGTTGAGCTGTATTATTTGTCTAAAATTATTACTGCTTTTAATTTTCAAAATAAATCACTTTTTTTTTTTTAAATTCTAAATTTTCTATATATCTTAAATGTGAAAAATATCTATAGGTCTCACTCTAGAAAATAAGTACAAATAGCAAAAAATATATATTTCAAATAAAAAAAAAACAATGTTTACAGTGAAAATTTTATAAGAGGATCTGTTATACTTTTCATAAATATTTTATTTTTTATTAGTATTAGTATCCCCCCACTCCTTTCTGGAGAGTTTGCCAACATACTTGACTTTGTAGCATTTCTGTCTCAGATCCACTTCCAGTTCTTCAGTACACTTCCTTTATCTGGTACTTGTCCTTGTAGGTTCCATGACATGTTGTGGTGCTGGCACATTAAAAACATCATATAGCATTTTTATCAGTTCTTCAATGTTTCAGGTTTTTCATCGATGAACTTTTTTTCAGCTGATTATGGTGCCTTTTATGTTCAAATCTTTTCCTTTTTACTATGTAAATCAACTTCCTGATTCTTGCTGATATTAATGCTGTCTTTCTATTCTCAGTTTTTTCACTCTTTCATTCCCTGTAACCCCCTGCTTTCTAGTAGCATTATCACCTTGCTTGGGATGAAATGATTAAAAAAAATGCACTTATATGTTATTAAATTATTTCTTTTTGATAGGCAATAGGATCTGTTGATTTTCTGTAGATTTTTTATAACATTGGGTGAAGATAGTGAAAAGCAAGAGTAAAGAAACTTTATATTTTACAGTTGGGCTCCAAAGGATATGTGATGAGAGTTCAAATCCTGTTGGGAGCTTGTTCTTTATTTCCAATTACTGCTGATTGCTGAATAGTTATAGAATTTAAAAATGCAAGTGTTGTAATAAAAAGCAACAGAAATAACATAAAAGAAAAACTAGTTGCAAAATTAATACCAAAAAATAAATGTTGAGAATAATCAAATTACCCATATTGCTTTTAAACATTAAACTTTTTGTATGTGTTTTAAATAAATCTAGGAATAGTGACAGATGCATTCAGAAATGGAGAAGGAATTAAAGGGCCAGAAAATGTTCTTAGAAACAAAGAAAAGGAATGATATGTAATGTTCAATCTCTTATGCGGCAGTGAATACTGGAAAATTTTGTTATAGTTGAATAAGACTTAAAGCAACAAAATTTTCTATTGATGAATGTTGAGAATACCATGGACAGAACATGTGAGAAAAGAGGAAATTTTAAGGAGAATAAGAACTACAAGAAAACTTGTTAACAGCCAGGAAGAGATAGTTGAAATGAGGAAAAAA